CCCACACACCCCCCCCCACACCCCCTCCATTAAAAATCTTCTCCAAACAAGACCCCCTTTCTCCACTGAAGAGGGACCCTCTGTCTAATGCCAAGTGACTCTCATGGCCAGCATTGACGGTGGGACACTTGCTTCACAAAGGGAGCTGAAGTGTCAAATAAACTCGGTCAGAGCCCCCGACACACAAGAATTCCTTTATCTGGCACCCTGCGAGGCAGACAAAGACAGACTTTGTGTCAGTGAGCAGGCCTTGACTAAACACTGGGGCTTTTTTTTTTTTTACTCCTCACAACTTCTGCCTCTTCTTCTTCCTCCTCCTTTTGTCATTTGAACAGCCGAGCGGGAGCATGACGTGACCCTGCTCGCCCAGCATCTGTCCTGCACACGGCCAACATCACCCCCATGCTGTGTAAGCTCCATGCAAACACAGATGCACCCATGCACACCCACTTGCATACACCCATGGCTGTCTGTTAGAAATCAAAGCAGCCATACTGTTTTTTTTGGGATACTTTTGTTTATGTCCTGGTCCATAGCTGAAAATAGTAAGACACAAATTTACTTCCTCACGGGGCTGACAGTGATGGCTGTGCTGTCATATGATACGCCTGTGGTGAACCGCAGTAGAAAGCCCTATACATACCAGGGTCAGACTCATTTAACAACCCTGTATTTATTCCACTCAACATTTCCGAGGAGCTTTCTCATCACTTTCCATTCCTGTAGTTCGCATTTATCCATATTGTCATCTGTTTAGTACCTTATGCTAGAATTAAAACATAATTAGCTAATTTCTGGTCTTCAGTTTCCTCATTTGCAGATGATGTTTATTAGATAATTAAAACCAGTTAACTTAAAATGTCACCTGGACAAATCAGGTAGCACACAGACTTTAGACTAAGCAGACATCTTTCCCACACAAGAGGTGCTATTCAGTGATTTTGTGCAGCTCTGTAAACTGGTCCATGAAGTTACAAACCTAATCTATGTATATGAACGTTGAGTCCAAAGTGCTGGAAAATGATCTCATAAAGTATTGAGACAACGCTGAAGCAGCACTAAGAGCTGTAGGCCAGGACTGGGTGCTGGCCAGCCCCAGTGAGACATATGTGCATCAGGGCCTGCTTAACACAGGCCTGCCCAGAGAGCTAATATTGCCCAGCACAGTGGTTAAAGTAAACAGATCCAGTTGCTGTGGTTTAGAGTGTTGATGGCATGTTTAGGAGCCTAAGCTGAGTGGTGATTTATCATTTCTGAGCTCAGGGCTCACCTTGGGTCCTTGGCCTGGCTTGACCTCAGTATCTGTGTGTATGTGTATTCATATGTGATATTGCATGCAGGTGACAACACCGACTGTGTAGTCTAACCTCCCAGTGAACTGTCTCAGTGCCATGACCGTTTCTAAGCATTGAAAGGAAACGGTAAGCAATAGAAACATTAATTTACACCCTGTTTTTATATTTGCCCTTAGCTTTACCTCATCATGGGTCTGCGGGGTACAAAGCTGACTTCACAGGATAACCTTTTCATGGGCGTCATGAGAAATATCAGGCTGTAAGAAAAGCTGTTATGTATCTTTTCATATAGAACATAATTCACATTCTATGTGTGTTTAGAATAGGCTCTAAAGTTTGTCTGAACAGGAGAACTGTCATTTATTAGTAGTGCAGGAACAATGGGGAGCTTGTCTCTGGGGTGGCAGGGGCCTTAGGGGGGCAATGGAGTGAGGGGAGGGTGGCCTGAGATTGGGCAGCAGCCTCTGACCAAGAACAAGCCCCTGTCTGATGGAGAGAACTGCTGACCCTTCCTGAATAAAATGGCACCTTTGTTTCGGGGTGTATGTGTTTGTGCCTATGTGTTTATGTGTGTGAGAGAGGGAAAATGAGAAAGGTTTTGAAAAGCTTGGATAACTATGTGAAGTGGTTTGTTTCTTAGTACTTCGGTGATTTTTCTCGTGATGCAGAAGAACGAGGGGTGAATTAAGTTGTTTTCTGTCACAAAAGCTAGTTAATAATGTCATATTTAGAGTGGTGGTAGCATGTGCCCAAATGTTTTATGGATGAAATGCACATTGTTTTGAAGGTCACCTTTCACACAGCATCATCTCTAGACCTCTTTATAAAATATGAGCTACAGCTTTTACGAATACATGCATTACTGTGCATACGATGCTACATAGAACTATATTGTTTTCTGTGATGCCATGACACCAGACCACCACTTCAGACAAATTAGCCATTTTGTGTTTTCCTCCAGTGGTGCTTTCTTTCTACATGCCTACAAGCGATGATCTCCTCTCTAATGATGCCCATGAGGGAGAGAAGCTTTGTTTAAAGGGATGGAGGGAGGGTGGGCAGATGAGAAAAAAACTGGTGGGTAATGGTGGCAGATTGCTGATTTCCTACAGGGAAACCACAACTTAGAGGGTGGTGTGTGAGTGTATGTGTGTACATCTCTGCTCTCAGAGTATTCATGCAGTGGGAGGTTGAGAGAGTCAGACACTGTTTGAATGAGGCCTTGATAGGTTGCTTTAGAGGAAGTGGTGAACATGAGTGGGGAGTCTTCACAGTGACACCTCTGGCTCTAACACTAGACTCCTGGTGCTTAAACCTTTTCACCTTACCTTATTGCCATGCAATCTGAGTGACAAAATACATCATGTGTCCTCTGACTTTCATTTAAATCCTCTTTTCTGTCTTTGACCTCCTGTGTAAGCATAGCTGCACTGAACTCTGCAGGGATGTTGAAGAAAGAGGAGACACCGAGAACATAAAAAGGTAGATGAAGGATGAGTGGCGGACAGACTCTTTTCCACCAACATCCCCTCAGCACACATAGAGTAAACCGCAAAGACACACAGCGCAGCACAGGGGCATCTCTGTCAGCCCGGACACAGACAGACAACACTCCATTCAGGACCAGGAAGGCTGCCTGCACAACCCACCACACTACAAGGACACTATAGATCTGCAGAACAGTAGTAACTAAAGATGTTAAGAGCAGTCTGAAACTCTGCTAGTTAGGCTGGAATAAATACAGGTTAGGAAGCCAGGGAGGGAGTGCAGTAGAGACATGTGTTCTTTACCACAGGGATTGGCTTCACATACACAAAACAGCCAAGTCTTCAAGATTTGTGTCAGTTTTTCCTATTCTATTACCTGCTCATACATTTTAATGCTTGTTTTTCCCAGGGTATGTGCATGTGAAGCAGACAAGTCTAGGATGGTCCTGCAGGCATTTTTTATTTATTTATTTATTTACCTTCATTGTGGACAAAGGTTTGTCTGAAATGCCAGACATTCCTCCTTCTGTTTTCTCTCAAGCTGACCTCACTTGTTAATTTCATACTCTAGTTTTGGAGGGAAAATTCCTCCCTTTTGTTCTGCTCTCACAAATGTCACATTCCACCAAACCTGTGACCATGTTCGGCCTTTACTTTGCTGGGTGTGGGTTGCCATGGCACCATCACTGCGTTTCAGTCACACCTACACAAGTAAACCATCCTCAGTCAGGGGGATGGGTCTTTTTTCATTTGATCCACTCTTTCAATCTTCCTCCCTTTTCTTCTGGCCTCAATGGGGAAGATAAAGGATACGTTTTTAGTGTGAAGAAGAGCGTGAAATTTCCTGCGTGACCTCCCTGGGACACAGCAGACCACCAGGCTCCTCAGACTTCTGTGTATGTATGTGTTCAATCCTGTGCTTGTAGACAGGAATCCGTATGACGCT